TCATGTGTCTCAGACACTTACTGACTCACAGACCACCACTACCTTGCCTCGTACACACTGTCTTTCATCTGTCTCAGACACTTACTGACTCACAGACCACCACTACCTTGCCTCGTACACACTGTCTTTCATCTGTCTCAGACACTTACTGACTCACAGTAACCCACTACCTCGCCTCGTTCACACTGTCTTTCATCTGTCTCAGACACTTACTGACTCACAGACCACCACTACCTCGCCTCGTACACCCTGTCTTTCATCTGTCTCAGACACTTACTGACTCAAAGACCACCACTACCTCGCCTCGTTCACACTGTCTTTCATCTGTCTCAGACACTTACTGACTCGAGCCGCCTCCGTGGTATAGTGGTGGAGCGTCCGCCTGGAGAGGTCCGGGGTTCGATCCCCGGCCGCGTCATAACAAAAGACGTCAAAAGATACAACTTGTTGTTAAACTGTCTGGCGCTCGTCATTAAGGGGCTAAATAAGGACTGGTCGGCTCAGTGTCAGTATGCTGTGCCTGAGTGGGGTATTCATGTTAAACTGCGACATGGTATCTCAGTGAGCTGGCAGTTTAAATCGGCATCAGTCCAGACTAGTACAAGCAGCCACACACACAGCTAAACCCTATTTCACCTCACCTCACCTACTGACTCACTACCACTATCTCCGCCTTGAAGGGACCTTAATCACACCAGAATCTAGCCTATATCCAGTGACTTTCACTGAGCTTACTCACTTACTTCGCTTACTAACAGTGTCGCTCACTCCCCCAGGGTAACGGATGCCCCAGCATACAGTTGGTTATGCAGCCAACCAAATGGACAGAAACCCTCCACTTACAAGATATACGATTTTTTCAATAATAAAAACAGAACACGCGAGTATTATGTCGGGACACAATCATACTATATTGTGTGATCGGTCATACATAAATGAAAGCAACAAAAATCTTTTCACAATCATAAGAAGGTTCTAAAAGCAGGGTCCGCTGTATGATTACAACTACAGTAAACCACGGTTATAACGAACACGCTTATAACGAACTGACGGATATAACGAACTTACTTTTTTGGTCCCGACTATTTGCTGTAGTTATGCTGTATATATGCTTATAACGAACTACGGTTATAACGAACTAAAATTAGTAGTCCCTTTGAGTTCGTTATAACCGTAGTTTACTGTATATCGTAAGCATTTGTTTAAGAATCAAAATTCAATAGTGATGATACCAGGTGTTTGCGAAATAGTGGCTCCTATCACAAACAAGGCTAGTTAATTGTTCACCTCAAAACAAACAAACAAACAAACACATTATAGACTAACCTTTTGCAGTGGCCTAGTTGTCGAGGTAGACTTTTGTGTGTGTAACATACACAGGCAACATATGCCTGTCCCGAACAAGGCTAGTTAATTGTTCACCTCAAAACTAGCATCGTGAACATCAAGAGAAATGTCAAACAAACACATTATAGACTAACCTTTTGCAGTGGCCTAGTTGTCTTTTGTGTGTGTAACATACACAGGCAACATATGCCCGTCGCGAACACTATGGCACTGCTTCGCTGCTATACAGCTGCCACAAATCACGTGCTTGACATGGCATGAAAGATCAATAACCGTTAACTGTGGAATGAACTACGTATAGCACACGTAATTAGCACAACACGTTCCGTAGCTCAATGTCGCTTTGACTTTTGTACGATGCATCTCGTGATCGTCAAAGGGACTATAATCTCTATGTTTAAAGATAAAAAATGAATGGTAACACGACACACAGTCTTGTGAATAGTTGATATACTAGATATTAAGTGAGTACGTAAATTTGTTTTAACGCAGGTTTTAACAATAATCCATCATGCAAAGGCCTTTCTAGTTTATTCCTATGCGTCAGTGAATCTAATCCTCTGTCCCATTATCAATTAACCTCTGTAATTATAATCCAGGATCAGGAACGAAAAATGCTATAATCAATGGGCACATCTTTATAATGTGATCATGTTGCGATTCCGGGGTAGAATAGGTCCCTCCGGTGACGTCATCCTAGTGTTCTCCAGTCGGGTTAAATATCATAAACAGGGACGTTGTTATGTCCCTGGGATTTTATAAAATATGGCTGGGATTTAAAAGGATATTCAAGTCATATTTGCTATATAATGTGTTATAATATCCCAGGGATTTTATATAATGTCCTGGGTATTTTATTAATACAACTTCCGTTCAGATTGTAACATGTAATGAAATGTAAAATCATTTGACAAATGTTTTCTTTATATTCCCGAGGATCGAACTCGCAACCTTCATATCTGTAGCCCAGTGAGTGTACCACAAGGTTACAGATGTGTTGATAAGCTGCACTGCTTTTAGAATGTCCTTTTCAAGATCCGTACGCCAGCAACAGATATTTTACGCCCGTTTCCTAAGGTTCATGGAAAGTATGTTCGAAACATAAAAATGTTGATAAATGTTGTTTTAAGTTCTTTTTTCGGTTCATAAGTAAGATTAAACACTTCCCCATCGGGTTTTTATGATATCTAAAACCGTTATCCTTGGGATGCGTGTTTTAAATGTGATAAGAACCCTTGGACGTGCTTTATTGTACACTTATAATGGGTTAAAATTTAGTTTGGGGATATTTTTAAGGTTCAAAATCGGTTTATAAATAAGATAAAAAACTTCCCCTCGGGTTGTTATGATATTTAAAACCCTTTCCCTCTGAAAATCCCTTGGGATGCGGGTTTTAAATCTCATATCAACCCTCGGACGTGTTTCATCCTATACATAACCTTAAGCCTAGACAAATAAGGGTCAGATAGGGATTTTGCTGATTTTGTGTCATTCTTGCGCAGCCCTGATCATATTATCAATCAAATAAGGTTCTTTTTCGCCCAGACTCGATTTACAGGCCGCCGTCATATCGCTGCACCATTGCTAACAACAACCTAACAAGCACACATAATGAATCTAAAAATCATTCAATAAAATCACAAACACAACATTAATTATGATGATACTCACCATCTTGTTATTCTGACACTGTGCTGTCTCGAGGGTAGTAGACCTTGGGAGGAGGTAAAGGACGACATCCGCATCGCTGTTTCGGAACATTTAATACGCAATTCAAGTAAAGAAGAACAACTACAGAATGGCTGGATTACCTGCTCTGAAGTACAAAGAATCGTTTCCAGCTCATCCTACAGGCGTTATCCTCCATCGTCGACATACATAATTATTCACTAATTCACTGGCTTCCAATCATCCCAATCAGCTTCCGTGGTTGTTTACCCTGTCCCATTGTAATCCACTTGCTTCCAATCATCTTAATCAGCTCTCTGTGTCCATCAATCAATTTACTGTATAAACATTGATGTTAATAAGTATATATACCTATGTTGTTTAGTACTATCCGTGTGCGAAATACGCATCAGTCGGAAAGCGCACGTTAAATCTCCAAAGTAAGTAAGTAAGTAAGTAAGTACTATCCATCACTTGCTTGTTAAAGGTGTTAGGATCTACACCGAAACGTCGCACAAATTGTAATAAAGAAGTTGTTCATCCATAGAACTTGTCTTACTTCATCACACCAACTTCTAAATGCCACTTAAAGAAGTTACATATTATAACTGCTTATTTAACGAGTGTGGATTTAGAAAATATTGAACGGGATAAATACTGAGCGAGTGAGTGAGTTCAATTTAAAGTCACGTCAAGGAGACTTACGGTACCACTGCTACCTGCATGGTTCCCAAGCAGAATTTACACTTCCTCAAGTTTCAGGTGATTTTTGCAAGTGAACGGGACAAATAACACACAACAATGAGAAAAGGTCGTGTGTCTAAAACTATTATAAGTAAAGTTTGTTGACTGACAAGGAAGCAATGTCGTACATGTATTTATAGGATATTACAGGAGCATCAATTTCATATCAAGTTTATGTCCCGCGTCAAATAATTTTCAATTCACCCCAGGTTTGTTACTGTTGACAAGAACCTTATTTACAGTACGCAATATAAATAAAACACAAGGAGTATTATGACACATTTTGATATCACTGGAAAGAGTTGCACGATTCCAATAAGCACTTTGGGACGAACAATAACACCTCTATAGCACCTGTTGAAATGCTTTAATGACAGGTATGTTTTCACCCAGGGGGTGGAGGTGTGGGGTTTTGGGAGGGGCGCTTGGTTTAGAACTGCCATGCTGAGGTCTCTTTGACAACTCTGCCGCCTGTACTGTTCCTATCCCACACAGGAGAAATTACATTTGCCAAACAACTTAGGACACAGACGTCCTCCTCCTCCCTCCCCGACACGTGAAGATTCCGGGGTAGAATAGGTCTTCAGCAACCCATACTCGCCGTAAAAGGCGACTATGCTTGTCGTAAAAGGCGACTAACGGGATCGGGTGGTCAGGCTCACTGACTTGGTTGATACATGTCATCGATCCCAATTGCGTGGATCGATGCTCATGATATTAATCACTGGAATGTCTGGTCCAGACTCGATTATTTACAGACCGCCGTCATACAGCTGGAATATTGCTGAGTGCGGCGTTAAACAACAAACCAACCAACCAACCAACCTCCTCCCTCTGTTGTACCCGCAATTCGACATTTAGTCCGTTGATTTGGATCCTGTCCCGGAGGCATTTTTAAGCATGTTCCTAGCTCGCGTACATTAGTGATTGCGAGTAACTCTTAGGGCGCAAACTCACTGGCTTCTGTATGCACGTGCATCAAGTGCTGTCCATTCATGATGTGAAATGTCATGGTGATTAGATGTTACGTTCAGATGCAGCGTCATGGTCTTGAAACTACAACAATAGCTACATTCAAAGCATTTGTGTCCTTGTTTTTGGTCGGTAGAATATATTCCAGGCAGTTAGACCATAATCAAACACAGTCATTGATAAACATGATTCCGGTCGTTATCGCCAAGTGGACGCTCCTATCACACGTGATCCTTGTAAGATAAACGAGAAGACAGCTGCCAATATTGTTAAGTAGGCCGAGTATAGAATATAACAACGACACGGTATAATGTATGTGACGGTTGTATTTCTTTGTATTTTACTGGCAAGATCTCTCTCGGGGCTAATTGTGCCTTCCCCAAAGTCAGATGGTGCTTCTGATATGTCCAGCCTTTTGAATCATGTGTCGCTGCTTGAGCAGACTGTGTCCAGCCTTCAGGCAACAACCACGCAGGTTCAGACAGAACTACAGGTTACAAAGAAAGATCTGCAGGCCACACAGACACAGCTTCAAAGTACCATGAAGGACTTCCACCATACCAGAACAGATCTGCAGACCACACAGACACAGCTTCAAAGTACCATGAAGGACTTACAACATACCAGAACAGAACTTCAGTCGAGCAAGACACAACACCAGTCAGAAGCTGCTGAAATATCATCCTTGAAAGATGAAGTTTTAGCAATGAAGGCAGAGCTTCGTTTAACATCTAATCAACTCGTCATGGTTAAAACACAACTGAAAGACATGGCACACGGTGACAGTGTGGCTGATCCTCAGCTGAATCTTACCCTGCTGGATTCCATCCTCCATGAGATGAAGCTGAACACGGCACAGGTACATGCGGTGCAGACAGATGTCAAGCAGCTGGACAAACAACTCACCTTAGTAAACTCTACTGTGCATGACGTGACAACAGAAAAAGATGACTTCTTTCGTAATATGTCGTCCTGGATGCAAATAATGACACAGAAACAGTTGGCAGAAAACACGGAACTCCAGTCTACAAAGTTGCTGGCACATACTGAATCTAAACACGTCCAGAAGCTCGAGCAAGATATAAAGTCAATGTTTTCTGAAATGAGTGTTGTCAGACAGGACTTACAATCAGCATGGAAGGATCTTCACTCAGTTCAGAGTAATCTGAGTCTGACTGTCTCCAATGTTTTAACTTTAAAAAGTAACATATCCATGGTTGGAAAGCAATCCCTGGACAACAAACTATCCCTGCTACAGGTTTCACAATGTAAGTTCTTGTTTAGAATAAATGAAAAGATACATTCGGTATCAACTCTTGTGCATCCTGCACTTCAACTGCTCGGGGAGTGTAGTTGTATTATTTCTTTGTTAAATACTGACCTTCATAATCCAGATATCTGCAGTAAACGTACATAGTATGTCATCTTGGATTCACTGTATGGTCGCGGCTATTGCGCAATGCCTTGTTCTAATACTACACAACGATTATCTACAGGATTAACATTGGTGATTACTGTTCCCTTGACTTCTTCCAAATGTTCTGTTTGTTGTTTAACGCCGAAATCTGCAATAATCCGGCTATATCACGGTGGTTCTGTAAATAATCGAGTCTAGACAAGACAATCCAGTGACTGATATCATAAACATCGATCAACGCAGTTGGCTTTCATAATTAGGTCAGGGTCTGGCAGCACATGCATTTGAAAGCTTGAGGAAATCACAGGGCTATTTCTCGTTTTGCAAATACTTTCAATCACCTCTTTATAAAACCAAGCGTAGGCCCACTCCAACAAGGTACTGACAAAATATATCTCCCTTAAATAGTATCTGTGGTACCTTATTTCAACATCACTCTAATGTACATTACATTGAATAATATGGCAGTTAAGGTCATAGCATGGCATGCACCAAGTGACATCACTGTTGACTACTTTTTATACTTGTCGTCAGTGGACCCGTGAAGATTCCGGGGTAGAATAGGTCTTCAGCAACCCATGACTATGCTTGTCGAGTGGCGACTGGCGACAGGCTCGCTGACTTGGTTGATGCATGTCATCGATCCCGATTGCGTGGGTCGATGCTCATGATATTAATCACTGGAATGTCTGGTCCAGACTCGACGATTTACAGACCGCCGTCAAATAGCTTGAATATTGCTAAGTGCGGCGTTAAACAACAAACCAACCAACCAACTTGTCGTCAGTGTAAGCATTTCAAACGGTTGAGCTACAGTGTTTTTGCACAATTTGCTTACTTTGCCTTTACCTGGTGTGACATTTCACTCCTTTCTTGCATCAAAGACCAGAAGTAGCGCATTCCGCATTGGTATGACCTGGCAACAGAATAGAGCTTGACATCTGGGCCCCATTCCACAAAACGTTTAGAGCACTACGCCACGCCAGGGATACGACGTCTATGTTAGTATGGGAGTTACAAGCATCTTAGTACTACGACTGCTTTTTGGAACGGGTCCCATACAATACACAAACATTTATTCCGAATACTGCATATTTATTGTTTTTGTTTCGTGTTATCTACAGCACCAAAGACCAGAAATGTGGCATTCAACGTTAACTACCCTCCAAGTTCAACATCAAACGGCACTCCTCTCCCATTCAGTACCATCCTTTACAACGCTGGCTCTGGCTACAACACCAGCACGGGGACGTTCGTGGCGCCAGTCTCTGGGATCTACATCTTCTGGACACACCTGGCACTGACGCAGGCAAACACTAACATGTCCTTCGACATCATCAAGTCAGGAGGAGTGATTCTGGCAAACGGATACACGGAAACAGACTCGTATATTGATGAAACTGATGCTTCTGCCATCACTGTCACTCATCTAGACAAGGGAGAAGAGGCCTGGGTACAGATGACTTTTTCACGGATTATCTACCCAAGCTCATCCTATTTTGGTGGCACCCTGCTGTCAGAGGACTGAGAAGAGTATTTAGCTCCATCACGCAATGCTAGGAACAATTTCAATGATATTGTAACCAGCTAGTCTTCTACAACGACATGTATTTGGGTCTGTCCTGTCCAACAATCGCTTCAGTATTACAGTGTATGAATAATAGACACTGATTATTGACAATGATAATAAGAAAAGCGACAAAAAGATTTCCATTACTATATGAAATGTCTGATTCCGATTATGTACTAGGAATTGGTTTGAACTAGAAATAAAAGAGACTAGTGAGACCCCTTCGTCTGTTTCATATCTAGATCTGTGCATACAGATTCAGAGTGATAAAACGTTTTCCAGAAGACTGTTTGAGAGGGATGACTTCAAATTTCCAATAGTCAACTTTCCATTTATGTCGAGGAATATTCCTTGCAGCTCCATACATTGGTGTCTACATTTTACAACCGGGCATTCTTTTTGCCAAGATTTCATACAACTTTTTTCTAAGAAGGTGTTTGATTCAAGACCTTTCAAAAAGTTTTATGGTAGCCATGTGAAGGACATTTCGAAAAGAGTGACAAAAATTGTATCCGATGCAATTCCCTATTTTGACATGTACCCGTGTTTTCTTTTTCTTGGTGAATATTTGACTTGTCTTTGCGTGTGTTTGTGACGGGTGAAACCAGAAGAGCTTGATACACTCACCTTTTCGCGAACACCTGGAACTATCACCATTTGATAGTGATTCATAAACACTTTCTCATGATACAGTCGGAAACTTACAATCATGCACAGGAGACACTCTATCTTCTCCCGCGGTTCTACATGCGGGGAGGTTCTGTACAATATTGTTTACATTTCAACACATAATGCCGAAATTTATAGCACTTTTGTTACTGTATACCTTTCCGGTGCATGGGAGTTAACTTAATCCAATTTCAACCCTTGCCGACCTAGGCTGGATTTCCGCGTCTCGATGGAAGAGGAACCAGTAGATATTACGAGTTATGTCCCTTCTATGTCCCTCGTATTGACCAATCAGATTTTACCGCTCATGTCGCTTGCAAAATGGCATCGTCAAGTGAAAACCGTCTGAGCGATAATCAAGATCTTTACTGTAATAACACGGGTCTTACCTCATTTAGAGCACCACATTTGGGCACCTTGATTAACATGTAAACATCCATCTGTCGACGCCCAGTTGACGGTACACATCCTCTGCAGATACCGATATCGACACAAATCGACAGACGTCATGCTTTTGGGTTTTTTTAACCGGATGTCGATTTCGTTTCTCGATTTTGATTGGGGGGTTATGCATAGACTCTTAAGTCAAGCCAAAACATAACTCCGTAATTCCAGCCTAGTTTGACAAGCGTGAAAAAAATGGACTTTTATAGTCAGTTAACTGTATTGCCTCGAGAAGATGAATACTACATTGCCTGGAGGAGGGGGCAGGGGTGGCCCAGTCGTCTAAGGCGCCGCGATTCGCTGTGCAGAGTTGCTTCCCTTTGGTACGCCAGAAACCTATGATTGTGGGTTCGAATCTCGGTTCGCCCCGATTATGTTTATCGGTTTGTCAGCACCATACCCGTGCTCGTGGGTTTCACCGAAGTGGAAAACGTCTGAGACCTGCATCACTTCAGGCTTTCCTCCCACATTAAGCTGACACGCCGTGATATAACTGGAATACTGTTAAAAGCGGCGTTAAACCCAACTCACTCACTCACTCATCGCTGGTCCTGACAAATAACAACCATATATACATAATCTCACTCGTATAAGATCTGATACAAAATTTTACTTTGATATCAATGTGGTGTTTTTGTATACCGAGACACATTTTGAATTGAGAAGGGGCATTGTTACGTTGTCGTATTTTCGCCCTAACGAAAATTAGCAAAAATTGTCACAATTAACCGATGCGACAACTGGACATAATCATATTGTGTATTTTATCAAAGAAAGACCACGCGAATATGTGTAAAAAGGTGTCGCATTGTCGCGCTTTGGTTAATTTTCGATTCAATTTGCGCATGTGTAGTTACTGAATTAATCTGCGCATGCGCCTAAATGGTTCTATTACTCCAGAGGTATTTTGTTAGCTCTAATTGTTCTAAAACCAAAGTAGCAATGACAATGTTAGTTGCCTTTCTCAAAATTAAAATAAATCTTTCATCGTTGCTTTAGAAATCTTTTCATATATCGTTATTGTCTGCATCATTTTTCATAATCCAAACGTGTTTTAACAATTTGAAACAAACACTTTGCATTTCTTGTTAATTTAATTCCGGTATCAGACATCTTCTCAACGATAAGGACACCCGGTCGGCCCTGTCGTTTTAGACGTGGCAAGTCGCTGTGCTAAAAGGTGAGCGTATCCTGCCCCACCGTGGCACCCTTCACGAACACATGCAAAGGCAAGTCAACTGTTTTCATGAAAAAAACATGTCTACCATGAAAGCTTTATGAAAGCTTTACTGAGGCATCGATCAACTGTGACGCTCTTTGAAATCCTTGTAGAAAGAACATGTTTGACTGTATCTCAAACATTGTGAAATGTAGACACCAAAGTTTTCAGCTGTAAGGAAAAATGGTGGACATGAAGGGAAAGTTGACTACTGGAAAGTTGAAGTCACCCCCCTCCCATACAGTCTTGTGGAGAGTGTTTCGTTACACATGTAGTGTCTCTTTGGGCAAGGAACTGTGTTTGAAGTATGCCACAGTTTATCCAGCAGTGAGTGGGTACCAGGTAGGATGAGATGGCAATGTGGCTGTTAACCTTCTTACACATCACAAAAATGACCGGGGTAATAATGCGCTTATTATTATTGTTATTATCGTTATAATATCAACCGAACTCCCTAAAATCGATGATTTCGCTGTGCAGAGTGGCGTCCCCTTGATGTGACGGGATCCTATGAGCGACTGTTTGAATTCCTGTTCGTCCTGAGTATGTTTCTTGTTCCGGCTTTCCTTACACATCAAACTGACACGCCATAACTGAAGTACTGTTCAGAGTCGTTAAACACACTCACTCACGAATAATGTTTTTTGCGGTGTCTATATTTGAACCATATCTACAAACCTTTAACTCACAGACTCAGCTCATTGGCGGACGTATGTATTCACATTTGTAATTGTTGATCTTAGACGTTCACCGCTTTGTTTAAGCCCACGAGCACGGAGTTAAAGGTGACAAACCTAGAAACATAACCGGAACGAAAGGAGATTCGAACCCACGACAACAGCTCTCTGGCATGCCCAAGGGACGCAACTCAGCGAACTACCCCTTTAACGACAGGACCACTACCCCTTGTTGGCGACGACTCCTAAAACAATACTGTGGTAGCATCTAGCATGTTATAAATATAATTATCTGTATATATTTGTGTTTGTTTTGTTGTTGTTTAACGCCGTACTCAGCAATATTCCAGCCATATGACGGCGGTCTGTAAATAATCGAGTCTGGACCAGACAATCCAGTGATTGACATCATGAGCATGGATCCACGCAACTGGGATACGATGACATGCATCAACCAAGTCGGCGAGCCTGACCATCCGATCCCGTTAGTCGCCTCTTACGACAAGAAAAGCATGGGTTGCTGAAGAACTATTCTACACCGGATCTTCACGGGTCTTGTTACTTTTGATTTAGTGTAGAATATTAAAAGCGTGTATTTATTAACATCAGAATTGCAGATAATTAGAAAATACTGGCAGAATAAAAACTTTACTTGCCGACTGTTTTTGTTCTGTCTGTGTTAGGTTTCTTTGCAACGTTTTCAAAATCAGAATATTCTTTGTGAAACGTGACCTACAAAGAGAACCTTTATCACTTGCTACGGCTCCATTTCTGTTCTGCTGCTTGACCTTCATTCGATTCCACTTTCTTCAACTTTGAATCTAGGAATTATACCATTTCTGAACAATAGAAGGAGCGATTGCTTTAACCACCGCAGTACACAGATTTCTATATCAGGCATTCCTTTCTAAAGTTGAATAAGCCTCAAACGCTATGTATATATGTCCGCGTATATAGTAAGTGAGTGCGTTGTGTTTAACGCCGCTTTTAACACTATTCAAGTTATATCACGACATGTCAGCTTAATGTGGGAGGAAAGGCCGAAGTGATGCAGGTCTCAGACGTTTACCACTTTGGTGAAACCCACGAGCACGGGTATGGTGCTGACAAACCTAGAAACATAATCGGGGCGAACCGGGATTCGAACCCACGATCACAGGATTCTGGCGTGCCCAAGAGATGCCGCGTGTACAGACACATGTTAACCCTCGTGGGCGTAGATTCACCTGAGTTCGCTTAGTAATGCAAGAGTCGCATAAGGCCTGGAGACAATGAATGGACTTGGGCACCTGGCGTCCTCTGCTATCTCACGAGGCCAAAGGAGACGAATCCAGCACGTGACCTATATCTGTTGAACTTACTACTCCATACGAGACCCGTGAAAATCAGGGGTAGAATAGGTCTTCTGCAACCCAGGACTATGCATTTTGTAAGAGGCGACTAACGGTTTCGGGTTACAGGCTCGCTGACTTGGTTGAAGCATATCATCGTATCCCAATTGCGTGGATCGATGCTCACGATATCAGTTACTGGTTTATCTGGTCCAGACTCAATTATTTACAGACCGCCGCCATATAGCTGGAATATGGCTGAGTGCGGCGTTAATCAACAAACCAACCAAACCAAAGCGATGATTCAGCAGGTATTTTGATACTTCGGTTGGCAAATATTTGAGTGCGGCGTTAAACAACAAACATAAACGGTTTACATGTAGACGAGCCATCACTTAAACTCCGATGTATGAAATTACAGTAAACTACGGGTATAACAACTAAAAGGTTCCACCAATAATGATTCGTTATAACAGAAGCATTTATACAGCATGTATACAGCCAGTGGACGCGACCAATATCATTTCGTTATATCCGACAGTTCCTTTTAAAGGCGTTCGTTGTGAACGAGTGCGGCGTTAAACAACAAACAAACAAACAAAACTCCGGACGACTTCAATGCTTCATTGAGGCAAACTGAAACATCTCATAACGGAGCTCCAGGATAGCTTTAAACGTACTTGCACTGTCCATGGCCAATGATTCTTAATGCAAGCCACATGATTATCTCACTGTCAGTGTGTCCTGCCACTCTTTCAGGTGACGTGAGGCTGACACTTTTAATGCTGAGCGTATCCTGCCCCACCGGTGGCACCCGTCAATGCTGAACAAGGCTGGAATTTCTGGGCACGATCGTTATGTC